GTGGGGTTGAAAAAAAAAAATGAGAACTCTGATGATTCAATCAACAAACTTAACTGACATACAACACTAATAGTTTGTGAATCAAAACCCCAAAACCACAGTGGGGAGGGGTCAGTGCTCACATCATTGCACCATCTCTGCTCCCAAGGGATTTGCATTTTTGGTTAATTTTTATTGCACTTCACTTACTTCTTTCCAATTTATAGAAAATTAGTTCAATGCAGGGCTCCACATTTATTTAACAAGGAAATCCATGCCAGCATAAAAGGTGATTAAAGTCTAAATTCTCCAGGTCCCCTCCCACTACCTCCCCCACCAACTATAGTTAGGTTATTCCTCTACGAGTTTCCAACTCAAGATAAAAGAAGCTATTCACATTCAAAGAGAACAACCTTCTTTGAATCAACAATTACATCATGTAAATCTAAAGCTATCCCTATAATTTTCACATTGTCACGTTTTTTGTTGTTACTAGCTTAATTAGCATGTACTTATATATTCAACTTGTAACGCTTTGTTAATCAACTGATGACAGAGGTTTCTGTCAAAACATGTCTTTTAAACTCAAAAGTTTTTTCGTTTTCTTTAATGTAAAGGGTTAAATATCAAAAGAAACTGTACCTTCACTCTGTAACGGGTTTCCTCCTGATTCAAATCTTTTTAGTCCAGCAAGGTTTTCCACTGTGTATTGGAGACTTTAATCTTTCTCTGAAAAATTCATGGCAAATGTTTATGTTAGATAAGATTATTTGATGTTCATTCCCTGTTTACCTTACTTAAAGGGGTAAAATTTGTATGAAAGGGCAGAGTTAAACTTGAAATAAGAATTAAGTTACTGTACAGCAAACTCTAGTCGCAATTAAATTGCTTTTTGATACAGCAGTGGAGGATTCCTCCAACAATAATCACAACTTCCTTTGAAAAATGACTGAGATAGTACACACACTCTCATTGGTTCACTTGATAGTTGTCTTTAGGCGAGAGTGTGTTGTGATAATTTGGTTGTTCAAAACATGATCAACCTAACCCAGGATTAGCGTAAATTTTTAATTCAGTTTAATGGCTTTGTAAAGGTATTTTTCTTTCTTTCTTTTTTTTTCCCTCTTAGTGTCAAGTCATGCTGAGATAAAACCCAACAAACTTAAGCACCTATACAAGTTCTTCTACACAACAAATAAAAGCCATGGTTGATGTAACCCCCTTTTGAACAACCTGGCCCAAGAGCATGATATTTTTGATAAATATGTTATAAAGGCAAAAAGATGAGTTTTACTCCTTTTTTATAGCCATTGGAAAAATTATGGGACGGGAAGGGGGTCACTCCAAACCTTTGACAGCATCTTGGGTTTGGCTTTGGTTTGTAGAACTGTCTTTGATTCTCCCCTCTCCCTTGCCTACCCCTCCTGATGTTTAGATGGGGCTACCTAGACACTGTAAAAGTCCTCATGCCCAAATATTATTTCTCTTATTTATATGGAGTATTTTAAAGCAAAAATATTTTATTTCTAATTTGTTGAGCAAAACTATTTATCAGGATAAAAAACCTAAATCAAAGAGTCACTGTATTGCTAATAAAGGCATCAAGCTAGCAATGTAGAAAAAATTTCATCTGTGTAGATCTTATATACGACGCAATGAGCTGTAAGGTAAAATTTTATATTATTTAAGAAAATATATTTCTAGAGGTGGGTGTAAATAGGTGTCATAGGGATATTCTAATAATGCCATTTTAGTTGAACAGCAAAGAAATTTGGGAGCATGAAGAAAGTTTAAACTTTATCAGCCATTCTGTGGTCAAAGTAAATTGTTTGCATCTCGCATTTTTTTTTCTCTAGTATTTCTAATCTCTAATTGCATAACAGTCTAAGTTTCTTAACTTGAAATCTCTTCTCGAGGTGGTCGGTGGAAAGTCGAATTACACTTTGACAATGACCTCCTTGTGATACTTATAGGGCTGTAGTGCAATTTCAAGTAAGACAGAAAGTTTCTCAAGTAAAATCTCTCCTGTAAACCTGAATCAATATCCCGAATCAGCTGGAATAGTATATTAGTTAGCTTTAAAAAACTGCGGTTTGTTATTGTATACAAGATGCAAACCTTGTAAACATGGCAACTCCTCGTCTTCAAAAACAGTTGTGCAGTTCTATACATTATTTGCATTTTCACATACATAAATGCTGGTTAACTGTTGTGCTAGACATGACGAGTGACTACATCATTGCAGATAACTTATAACTAAGAGTAGGTAATTGAAGGCATGTCTCTTTTCTGATCTTTTCTTAAGCTCAGTAAGTGTCTGCTTTAGGATTCTTTTATGTGACAAACAACTTGAAGCTTCTCTAAATATATTTATGTCAAGTAAATTGTTAACAATTTGAACCTACTGTTGTAAGCCATAGCATCTGCTCCAAAACATTGATACTTTCAGCCTTTGGAGGCTTTTTTGATTATTTTTTTGATAGATAGCCTTAGATAATACATTAGTTGATGTACGTCAATCTTCAAAAGTTCTCTTAGGGGTAATAGTCAGCCAATAGGTTTGACCAGTGCAATGATGGGGGAGTGCCACATGTTCACTGGCTAGCTGAGATCTGTATGAAGAACAGGGAGATATCTAAAAGCAAGACAATAATGGCTGACTAATTCCCTACAGCAGAAGTAGATCACTGGTCTGCTATAAAGTATGTTCACTGCTAACATATATATCTCTATAGTGATACTTCCCTTTGTGAGTAAGGTATGCTATGTTTTGTTTTGTCTTTTGTTCTGCTCAAGACAGGAAGACTCTGTCTGACTTTTAGTCACCTCACATTACCATGAGAAAAGCCTAAGGAGATTACAATTTCCTGCTTTGTTTGCCCAATATCTTCCTGTCCAACTGTCATTTATTTCTGCCAATCAAAATGTGGTATGCATCATAATACATGAAAATGTTATTGAAAGTTGGTATATAATTATCTTAAACAGGTTTATACATTAATTTCACTGTGTATTAAGTCATATTGTCAACATTTAAACCAAGAAAAGGTGTAATATGCTATTTTCCCTTGTTAAAACTCAGCTTTTCAAGATCTCTTTGATTGAAAAAGTCTTGTGAAATGAGATGAAATTTTAAAGTCTTACTTCTTCATTTCACAAGTACATGTACATACTAGCCTTCACAATGAATTTTTTAATCAGCAGTAACAACAGGAAGGACTTCCAACAATCAACATTAATGGTATTAATAAATGAAAAATAGTCTTGCTATCATGAGAACTGAATTATTCACCATAATTTCTTAGGAAAAACTCTAAAAAGCCATCCAATATGTGCATCAGTGCTTCAATAACACCATTCAACTTCGATCCTCAATATCTAGCAGAACCCACTCAACTCTTTTATCAAATATTTTTATTTCATGATATTAACAAGATGTCGAACTTGTGTTTATGTTAAGAAAAAAAAACAAAACAATAGCAGGGTTAAGCTGTTAGTTTCAATCGAACTGACTTCAAAAACGATTACGAAGCAGGGTTTCTTTTCAATTTCCATTTCTGCTTATTATAGACTTGCAATCAGCTGATTTCTCAAAAAAAAACAAACAAAAAAAAAAGAAGGTATTTGAAGACGGTAAGCTCTTGGTAAAACGCGTTAATATTCAAAAACGTATTACGAAATGTTTTGAATTTATTTATAGACTACTACAGGAAGTCGTAAATCCCAACCACTGTATTAGCTAAGTTTACGAAGCTCAAGGTTTAGACATTTTACCGGAATTCCGCTGGTCTGTTATTATCTGACACTTTTGAATATGTACCTTGTAATATCCCATGAGAAATCTCTCTGACCTTTGCAAGTTATTTTGTTATTTTTGGCTTTTGACGAATTTTTAGTGCGCATTTTCCAAGTAATTTAAATCAATGTAAATAAAAGCACGCCGTTCTGAAGTGATTCAGTGGCATTTCGAGTTCTCTTACGATCGAAGTGCGGCTGACTTACATTCTTTTGGTGAACTACGAACTACACACATCGATCTCTGAACTTACTTGACAATTCTTCGCTGTTTCTCTCCCCAGAAGGCCTTCTACCGTCGGTTAAAAAAACCACAACAATCCCTTGAATCAGCGATCAATGAGAAAATTTCGCTCGGGTATATAATCAAAGTTTGAATTTGCCGGTTAACTGCTCAAAAACTACGAAGCTGTCACACGATCGAGTACCACAACACAAGATAACTCTCTCTCTCGCGCGCGAGTGAAAATTGTTGGGATTCCTCCCATCAAGGCTTCGATCTCGCAATAAAGAACATCCTTTCTCGAAACCTACAACGCCTTCTAGTAAAATTCTGTCAAATTTCATTCATGGTTGAGTATACAGCAGAGTTTTTTGTGCCCACGTGCAACTCCCACGCGAGAATTTATCCCATAATCCTTAAGGCGCGAGTCTACCTCCCACGCGCAAATATGGCGAATAGATTCTTCACTCTCACTTGTATCACTAACGGTTATATCCTCCCATAAAGCATGAAACAGACACAAAAAATCGGAGCAGAAAACAGAGTTGAAAGGATAGCTTCATCGCCAGACAGAACCATTTAGTAAACTTGCTGAGGCATCGCAGAAATTTGAATAGCTTCTATTACAACCCAGTTCGTTTCTGTTTTTGGCGCTGTATTTCTGATTAATCGTGCGAGCAGGCTAATGGCAATTACGGCTTGGTTTTTATTCTTTCCCTTCTGTGGGAAAATAGTGGCTTAGATATTAATACACCCAACTCATTATTGTCGTAAATCATTTAAATAGGTTATATTTCAGTCGCACGAAAAAAATGTCTATTTAAGATAGTTATTCCGGCCATACATGAATCTATTTTTCAAAAACATCCACCTTGGCCTTCTGAACGCCGACTCTGGAAAAACGACCTCAAATGCAGCCTACATATCCCCCCAACTGACTAGTGTGTTGCTGAGTTCGACTTAAAAATCTTTTTAACAATATCTTGTTTTTCTTCTGCTGTTAGCCGCTTGATCGGGATGTGACGGCTGTCGTTCGATTTTTCTTCCGCTTTCCTTGTAAAAATACGGAAATCCTCTCTAGCTATGGAACTGATCTATGAATGCACACGTGCTAATGTATAATTTCATTGATTGTTAAGTGATGTTTAAATTATGACTCAGTGCATTACGTTGCTTGGTGAACAGCGACTTCGATTCACTACTTGTCCTGTTTGAGTGAATTTCTAAGCCGAATCGCTTTTCTCAAAACGCGCTATTTCACCGCGATTCACATTATCTTCAACCTTATCCAAGGAACCTATTATATCAGTCAAATCTCCAACTGACATTCAAATGGCTGCTACCGAGAGGTGGTTAAAAGACTGTCCCACGCTCGTGCGCCCCAAATCTCAGCCCACAAGGTTTTTTGTTTTTTTCTCGCTTCGTTTCGCCGTTTTACGTGTCAGTACAACCGGTGCCTCAAGGCTTTTTCAACAACTCGCAAACTGCATCTGCATCGGCTCTATACCACCTCATGTGGCAATTTCTGATCACCCTTTTTCTTAGCGTTTAAGTTGGAAAACTGATAAAAGAAAAATAATTCCTCATGGAACATCCTACATATTTTAATCTGCTCTTTTCGCTTACAAATGAAATTGGAAAAACCTGAATAGCGCAGAAGGCGAAAATAGCGATCCGTTGATTATCTGAATTGTGTTCGGCTCGTGTTATGGCAACGATATTTTTCAAAACAGCTACAAATGAGGGGCTCAATTAATTTTTTTGGTCAACAGGACTTGAAATACCGACTGTCGACTCGTAACCTGCCACTATCGTTTTTACTCACATCTATTTGACACTGTATGTAAAATGCTTTCAGACCGACATGATTAATCTGCTTTCGATTGCGATTGCGTAATCATTTTGTGGACGACCTATATTTGACCCGACCGCTTACAGTTCGAATTTAGATCTTGATAACCTTCAGGGACACCGGCCATTTTGATCTTCACTGACTGACTATAACAGCTCTTCAAGCTGACAAATGGTATTTTGCCGAGTTCAAAAACAAACTCAGATTCAAGTCCCTAAAGCCATCAGCGAGAAAATAAAAAACCGTTAAACTCGTTTAAAACTGAACTAACCGCGTTGTTTGCGGTTTGCGATTAGAAATTTATTTTTAAAAACTACTAGTCTAAGAGTAATTAGCGATAAATTTGCCTTAAAAGTCCTATTTTGGTTTAAGAATTAACACAAATAATAGTGCCAAAAAATTATGACAATGATTTGAATTAGAACAAAAAAATTTATGTTAAGTCGACTACAGTTCCTTGATTGCCGGTCGTTGTAGTGGATCATGCAGTAGTATGCGACCTTTGATTTTGCTAATTTCTTAGCCTATATATCTGAACTTCCTGTTTCTTTACTATTGCAGATCAAATAATGTGATATTGTTCTCGGCAGGCAGCCGATTCGCTTGCTGCAACCCATGAAAAATCTAGCTTACCTTGTGTAGACGCTGAACCTTCGCCGTTCAGCTACTGACTCTGCTGAACTTCGAAAACTTGTGATAAAAAGTGCTTCATGTCATAGAATAAAAGGTATGTGGGTTTGCCAGTGAGGCGTGTGTGGAACTGTCATATAGATGTTTGTGTTTTAAGATACTTGAGTTTTTAATCACATCTTGCATGATCTTGGCTCGTTTTAAAATAATCCCACCACGATGAGTCAGTGCTTTAGCTATAAGTCATTGAGAACAGCCCCCTTAACTATTTACGACACTATAACTCAGGCTGGGTTTCAAAGTGCGCGTGCGCACGCCTCTGCCTCACGCCCAACATGTTTGCACACGTCAGATGTTCTGTGTTGGCTGCTACACCAACGTCACGATTTATTCTGGACCAGTTTTTTGATACGTAGTACTAAAGTTTGCTTTGAATTTTATTGAGACATCGAGTTGACACTTTAAATACTGGTTTACGAAAACAGCAACAAGTTGCGAATAATTGTGGAAGGTGTGAGGATGATTGAGGATGTGCGAGATTGAAGCAGATTGCATGAGACGAGGTTTCGAAAAGTCAGCGCAGAATTTTCCAATTTGCAACTATTCAAAGTGCGATCGAGGATGATAGCGAGTAAAATCATAGAAATACAGTGAAGATGTCGCTATCAAAGAGTTTCTCTAATAACCATACAGTCGATAAACTATGACGAACCATGAAAAATAATTTTCTCAAGTAACAGGGGCTACTCAACCAAGGTCAAAGCTATTTATACATTTGAGAGATATTTTATAAAACGAAAACATGTGATAATTATTCTGTTTTCAAATTTACGGTCTGTCGTAGCGGATATCATTTTCAAGTTTTATCAGTAGTGCTAAGGAGGTAACTGCTGTAATTTTCGATTATTAATTGATTTAAAGACAAAAAAAAGCTTGGAAGTGATGAGTCATTTAACTTTTCTCATCGTAACAATTTGGTATACAAGGTTGTGTAATCATTTGTTCCAAAAAGGTTAAAAATAAGCGAGTACTTTTCCGTCAAGAGTGACTGTGATGTACCCCATAGACGCATATATTAACAACTTCTTTTTAAAAATTCAGTTGTAGCCCCTATCTCGCTAGGAAAAACCTGTAAACTTTTCTAAAACTTTCATTTTAAGTGGTAGTTTATCTAAGACATCGAAAGTAGGAAAGTGTGAACAAAAGTTTGTATGAGATTAGCTAAATTGAAGTTGCGTTGCGGAATAATATAGGAAAGGTAAGTGACTGCGTCATTTATGAATATACATA